CGTGGACGCCATTTTGGAGGGACCCTTCGTAGAAGAGGTTCGAGGGAAACTCGCTCAGCGCCGGGTGCATTCGATACTGCACCTCCAGGCGGATGGGGCGAATGCCCAGGACAACGAGGCGTTCGAAAAGCGAACGATTCAGCCCCGCCCGGCCCGCCTTCTTGCACATCACCACCGGCCCCAGCTGGCAGTGGTCTCCAACGAGGACCAGCTGTCGGGCCCCGAGGACCACGGGGACCATGCACTCCGGCTCCGTCGCCTGCATCGACTCGTCAATGAGAATGGAGTGAAACTTGAAGCGGGAAAGGCGAGGATCACCGGCTCCCACCGCCGTAGAACAGATGACGTCCGCCGCTTCGAGCAGCTCTCGCTCACAGGTTCGCTTCAGAATTCGGTAGCGATTTTCATCTGCCGAGCTAAGTTCTCCCGTTTCGTCCTTCAGCTGCTGCAGCTTCTTAAACTCCGAGTGGCCTTCCATTTTTCGAATTTGATTATGAAGAGATAGGAAGCTCACCGGAGAGCTCACCGCTTCGCGACTCTTTGCGCACAGGCGAACCACCTTCAGGCCGGTGCGGTGAATCTTCTCCGTCAGCTGGTCGACGGCGATGTTGCTGGGCGCGCAAACGAGCACCGGCGCCAGGCCCGACTTCACAAAGTGGTAGACGATGGAGGCGGAGGTGACGGTCTTTCCGGTGCCCGGTGGACCTTGGATCAGCGTCAGAGAGCGGGCGACAGACTGCTTCACGGCAAACATCTGCGACTTGTTCAGCTCGGGAAGGTTTGGCGCGAGGTAGAGTTTGCTGGAGTTGTTGGGGCCATTATTTGGACCTNGGTGAATCTTCTCCGTCAGCTGGTCGACGGCGATGTTGCTGGGCGCGCAAACGAGCACCGGCGCCAGGCCCGACTTCACAAAGTGGTAGACGATGGAGGCGGAGGTGACGGTCTTTCCGGTGCCCGGTGGACCTTGGATCAGCGTCAGAGAGCGGGCGACAGACTGCTTCACGGCAAACATCTGCGACTTGTTCAGCTCGGGAAGGTTTGGCGCGAGGTAGAGTTTGCTGGAGTTGTTGGGGCCATTATTTGGACCTGATTGCTGGGAACGGTTTCCGCCCGGGGTAATCACCGCCCCCTTGCTGTCGTCCACCTCATGGCCGAGCAGCTTGTGGTAGATGAAGCTGTTGACGCTGGTCTCGTCCATGGCAAACTTGCGCAGCGCCGATTGCATTCTGTGGAAATGTTAGAAATAGAAACTGTCAGAAACTCATTTCGAAATTGCAAACTAAAAGGTAAACAAACCGATCAAAACTGGTCGCCTTCCACACAAAGTCCACCACAAAGCTCGTCGTGACGCTGGTCGGCACGTTAAAGTTGTTCTTCAGCTCGATGGCCACCTCCTCGCTAAAGTTGTCCGGAATCTTCGTCACATGGCCGATACCGGCCCAGGGCTTCGTCTCCGCGCCCACGTAGCGCAGCTTCAACTCGTCGCCGTGCATCAGCCGCATGTCGGCGTCCGCTTTGGCAATCTTAAAGTACGCCAGTATTTTCATGTTCAAGCCGACGTCCCAGCGCACCTCAATGTTCTCCTGCGTCTGCGACTCCTTCAGCTTCTTGTCGTACTCCGCCT